TTGAAAATATAGTATAAAACCTTTTTCTTACAAAGGTTATATTATAAAGTACTATTTAGTATTTATAAGAGTCTAAAAAATGGTTAGCTAAAGCCTGTCTTTTAAATTTCTGACTAAAGTTGGACACTTTTCAAGATTAATAGGTATTTCTTTAGTTACAAGTATTTTTTAGATAATTTTATAATATATTATACACATTTTATGATTTATTTTAATAATAATTTAAAGTAATAATGAATTAAATTTCGTTATATATATAAAAATAAATAATGTAAAATATTTAACATAATATTTTATGGCATATATTTTATATTATGTATTTTATATTTTATATATATTTTATGTTATATATTTTATATAAATTTACTAAATTATTATTAAAATAAATTTAAAAAATATATATTATATGTACCCAAAAAACCTTTTCTAGCTTATTTTAACCCTAAATCTAATTATTATTTCCCCCTGATTTATTATTCCAATACCTCTTTCCCCTAATTTACCAAGATATATGACTTCTTAACCTTGTAATGGCTACAAGGGGATCCTTTTCTTGCCTTTCCCTCCACTAAGACCTCCTCGATGATGACTGACGATCGACGCCGCTTCTCTTGATGTTGATGTTTTTGATGATGATGACCTCAAGCACTTGCCAATGATTTGCATTTATCGAAAGGGGCTGCTGTCACGCCCTTCGAGAATATAACAACAAGATATCGATGACTACCGAAGCCTCAAAAAAAAAAAAACATAACCCAAAAGAAGAGCCTCTCTTTTCAGGCGTGAATTGGCCTCCAGTAAGAGTTAACAGATAATTAACTTCTTATTTTTTTCCAGATCTGTATCTCAGGTGTACTCCTCCCCTTCCTTTACCTTTACCTTCTCTTTTTCCCATAGTTTAGTAGGTGTTACTGAGAGAGGAGAGCTCCTTGCATGACCCAGCAGTTTCCAAGGGTTTCGATTTCGATTTCGGCTGCCCCGGCGCCTCAATCGAAATTAATAGCAACTTGATGAGTTGTTGAAATTATAATTTTCCCCCTCCTAGACCAGCATTTGCCATGTCATGAAAAGCGGAGTGGAAGGGGGGCGCCATGAGTTGAACTACCAATTTCATGTTGAAATAAATGCGTTAAATTAGCCGCCCTTGTGAGCTCGACTGGCGCTTTTTTTTCGGGGTTTCTTTTCAAGTTTTGCGGTTAAAAACCAACAACAACAAAGAAAAACCAAACCAAAACCCAAACTAAAGCAAAACCAAATCAAAACAATTTCCGCTCAATTAATAAAAAATAGAAGAGGAAGGCAGAAAGACTAATTAGCTGGCTATAAAAAACCAAAAAACGAAAACTCTACACACAGAAATTTGTCAAAAACTTCTTTTTAACCAAATAAAAAATTGTCCCTAAATATAAAGAGTATAAATCTTAGTTCTGATAAAAAAAAAATATACAACAAAGAAATGCAAATCACGGCGGGAAATGCTCTCAAATATGTTTTGTCTGTTGACAAATAAACGCCTCTGCATGGCGGCGACAAATGACAAATGTCCGGCTCGCATCCGCATCTGTATATCTTTTCATCTTTGTATCTTTGAGATTGTTTTTTTTTTTTTTTTTTATTTTTTTGGAGCTTGACTTTGCCGGCGCCAAGCTCAGCGCATGCCACATTAAAAATTTTGGTCTTAGCTGCCGTCTCGCGCTCCACCGACTGTGTGATTTCTCGTTTATTTGTTTATAATTTTTCAAAGCTTAAATGGAGCGTAAGAAACCCGCCGAATAAGAGGAGCCGCCTCTATAAAGGTTGACCCCTTACCGAACAGGTTAAGAAAAAAAAATAAGAGCTTGTCTCTACTTCCCGTGCGACATTTTGTGGCCATAACTCTTGGGGGTTTTTTTTTTTAATGGGCCGGGAAAGCGGATGGTTATGCCTTGGCTTTTATGTCTGGGCTTGGTAGTTATGTTGTTAAGATATATATGGTTTTTTTTAGCATATCTATCTATCAATTATACAAATGGCTTTGTGATTTCCCTTCTTGTTTTTTCTCATGGGTATAAGAATGCATTTATGGAGCAGGTATTGCAATACTTTTAATGATGGATTCTTCTTGGTTTTGGTCTTATCTGAATGTTTAAAGGGGGGGCTATATATTTTGAATAAAGGAAGTCTTGGCTGGAAAATGTAGATTGTTTATTTCGGTGGCATTTTCCATATTTAAGAGAAGGCTACTTAAAGACCTTTTCAGTTTCTTGAGGGTCTTAGGTTCTTAAAAACCTTAAGATACTTTTTTTTCTGGCATAGAAAGTATTCATTTTTACAGATATATATCTTAAAATATATATTTTAAAGGCTTTTTAAAGTTTTTTAAAGGCTTTAAATTTTTAAATAAATAAAATAAAATTCTAAAATAAATTAAAAGTCTTTAAATGGTTTTTATAACTTACAATAATCCATATATGTAACCCAAATCATATATTTCAAATAATTTCATAAACTCCCCATAAATCTCTAAAAATTTCACAGAATCTAAGGCAACATTCTTCTGGACTTGGTCAAGTTTTGTGATCTATTTCGATCTGGATAACGCCCTCTGCCCTGACCTAAGCCTGTGCCCCCACTCCCCCCACGAGTTCATCGCTTTTTTCATGTCAAAGTTCAAGATGCCAAGAAAGAAGGGAATTCTGTTTGTGTTGGCGCCCAATGTGGGGCCCCAAACGTTCTGTCCCGTGGCGCGGCTGTCTCCCTACCCCCCTCCCACCCCACCCCATCCCACTTTGTGTCGGCAAAAGTTCTTAAGAAGTTTTTGTGTCATGCCCTCAGGTTGCTGCTGCTGCTGCTGCCGCTGCTGCTGCTGCTGTTGTTGTAAAATTTATTATAAAACTCACAGCGGGCGGGCGCCCCAGAGAAAAAAGGAGAAAACGAGACAAAGAGAGAGAGACAGAGAAGCAAGTATATAGCAATTCTCCAAGTGGTACAAATTTTCCCCGTTGACATCTGTAAGGAAAGGAGGGGCTTCCACTCTTTGATAAGAGTGACGAAAAGGCTTTGGCTTTGATGGGGGGGATATATCGGGTTACTCAAAAGAAGCCAAAGGTTGTTTCCCCAGAAATCAGCTGGAAGCTGGCTATCCAAAGTATCTATATGTGTTTATATATACATATGACACACACGACATTCGATATGCTTGATATTCAGAGTGCAGTCTTAATGAAGATGCAAATGTATTTCACCAAACTGCCGCTGACAGCTCACAGATGTGTGTGTGTTGTGTCTTTCTCTTTTTTTTTTTTTTTTTTTTTTTGTATCTGTATCTGTATCTTTCTCTGAGCTCCTCCGATTCTTGGACAGATTAAGATTTGTTTTGCCTTGCCTCCTCTTCATCATCAACGATCGCCTTGGCATTTGTCACTTTCGTTTAGCGGTGAGAAGGGGACTCTGTCGCTGGAAAAGAGGTGTTGATTGTGTCACACTTGTCGCCCGAAAATCCCAATGAGTGGAGGGCCGCCTAAATATCCTTTAACTGTAACCAATGACACATCAAAGGTGCCGAAGCCGTGCCCAAGCCGAAAACCAGAACCAAACCGAATCGCGGAGCCCCGTGCCCAAGTGCTCATGGGATAGGAATTTATTTTTTTGAAAAATTTCGAGTGCCCAGAAACACAATGAATAGGGGAAAAGCAGCTGTGGGGAAGAGTCAAATAAAGAAAAACCTGTTGAAAAATGAAAACTCGAGCAAGGTGCCAGGAAAAGTCAGCCTAATGATGTTGTTGGAGCGAACATATGCTGCTACGGATATCCTTGACAGGCAGAAGAACATCTGTTTAACGATGGGAAAAGGATTCGAAACGAAAAAGGTGATGGAACCTTTGAAACTCGTGGGTGTAACAGCAGCTTAGGGAACTGTCAGCACCGAATTTGGAACATGGAAATGTGCAAGATGTTATAATGATATAGTTAAGGACTTGACCTTACTTCATTTCGGTTCTTTAGATTTCTTTGTAATTTTTACAAGTCTTTTACAAATTAAATAAAGTATTCTAGCAAAACCCCTACTTCATTTCGGTTTCTTAAAGACCTTTTGGATTTTTTTGTAAATTTTAAAGGTCTTACAAGGTTACCTATGAGTTATTATCGTTATTATTATATATTCTTTATCATAACAATTTAATTAAACTCATAATTAGTCTAATATAAAACTTAGGATCGCATAACTTCAAAGGGTTTTCGACTTAAACTCCCAATTAAGTTTCTGCTCTGGCACATTTTCCTGCCAAGATAATAATCTCCTGGATATGCTCTATCTAATCCCAATTATAAGCCCAGATTTTCCTTAATCGCTGTCTTGCATGTTGGCTAAAAAAATCTACACTTCTCTCTAGGAATTTTTCTTGTTAATTTAATTTTCCATAAAGATGCATTATATTTTTTTCTCCTATAGTTTGTTAAGAGCACATTGAACTTCCGCTAGCCGGCTGCCACGCCCACACGTTCCGACATTAATTTTATTTTTTATTGTATTTTGGTTTGTTTTTTTGAGCCAATGAAGCGTTGCAAGGCGGTTGAAAAATCGCATCCGACTATGTTTTTTTATGATTTTATTTTTATTTTATTTTTGTTGTCGTTTTCTTTACTGTTCAGCGTTGACCGCGTTTGCTTTAGTTTTAAACATTTGCCAGTCAAAGCGCGTTTAATTTATGCCTTTTTTATGCTGATGAAACCCAGACAGAGCAACCCGCGCTCCATTCCACTTCCATTTTCAAGCTGAAAGACCACTTGGGAAGGTCGCTTTCAGTAGAAAAAAAAATTAAGAGCAGGAAAAGACTCAGAAGAGGAAAACAAAGTCGCCAAGTTGAATGTAAAAATAAATATTTAAGACTTTTCCGCCTTAAAAATCACTTGAAAATCATAGAAAATCTTTTTAGATTTACTAAATTTTTACTAAAAAATAAAAAAAAATACCTCTAGGCTTAGCATATCTTAACTATTGTATTTTTTTTAGGACTCACCTGTATAACGCGCATGGGCAGACCCGTCTCCTTGGCCAGTTGCTCCCTGATGTGCCGTGTCGGCTTCGGCGTCTGATTGAAGGCCGTCTTGAGCACCTCCAGCTGCTTGGCCTTGATGGTGGTGCGCGGACCGCGTCGCTTTGAACCATTGGCATCGTCGGGACTTTTGTTCTCCGCCTGGGAATCGCCGCGTCCATCCGGATCGCCATCCAAGGAGCCCTATACAAATGTAGATAGAGTTACATTTACATTTACATTTACAGATATATATATATATATATAGTTATAGAAATCCATATAGTCCACACACAATGCCCGAGCTCATAATCATTTGCCAATCATTAATCAAGCCATGTGTGTGAAGAGACCCCAACAAAAGCCACCTAACCGAACCGAAATGGTACAAGGCTACAAATGGTTTACCCAGGAACTATGGTGGCTACATTACCCCTTGTAAGTATATGGTAATCCAAATAAAGTCTTTATAAATATTTTAGGGGGGTAAATATATACAAAAAATAAAAAAAATATATATATTATTCTAGGAAAACCCTTGATTCGGGTTAGAAATCTGAAGAAAAAACTCTCGTTTTCCAGGAAACTTAAAAGGATTTAAAATTAAACTAAAATATTTATTTTAAAATATTTATTATAAGTTTGGTTTATAAGAAATATATATTTTCTGATTAATAAAATATATATTTATAGCTTTTTTTTACTATTAACTAAAATCTTTAAAAATATTCAAGAATTATTTCCCTAAACTAGAGGCAATTTCCCTCTTAAAACTTCTTTTAAAAATCCTAGAAAAAACCCTTACATTATTATATAAATATTTTAATAACTATAAATGGAAAATATAGTATATAAAACTATAATTTCTAAATGAAAGGATTATATAAAAAGGTATCTATACCATTTACAAGTTATTCCTCTCTTATTCCCTCTTATTCCCCAAAGTTCCTTTAAAAATCACCTCAAAAATTCCCAAATATATCTTTTAAGTCCCTAAACTCTTCATAATCCATGAAAAAAATAAACCCTTTATAATTTACAAGGTATTCCTTGTTCTTTTTTTTTTTAAAAAAAGTTTCTGGTAACTATAAGATTTATATAAATATTTGTATACCATTTACAAGTAAACAAAAATTTGATCACCTAAAAAAATCCCTCACAGTTAAAATTTAATACTTAAACTCTCTATAATTTAAAATAATATACCCTATAGCCTATATTTTTACAAGAAAAATAAAATTTCAGGTAAATATTAAATTACTATAAATATTTTTATACCTCTTAAAGTTCAATAAACAAAAATTACCCTCAAAAAATCCCTAAAAAATCCTTTTTAACTTTTATTAAACTGTTTAAATGCTCTAAAATCCTTGAAATAATATAACCTTTACAATCTTTTTACACGGTATCCCCTGGCCCATTCATTACCCGAGGAATACAAGTTAATGATGCCTCCTGTCTTCGACCAGCACCCTCTCCCCGCCCTCCTTACCTGATCCGAATCGTCATGGGTATTTTTGCTATCGGTGCTCATGCTTTGTACTGATATATCCGATGTGCCCAAAGGTCCGCCCGCTGAGTCGGGTCCATTGGGCCCCAAAACGCCCAAGCCAAGGGCCGTGGCCCTTAAATGCGGCGGATCGTCATCGTCATCGTCTTCGCTCGCCGAGCCCATTAATGAATCTGTAAGAAAAAAGAAAGGAACCAAAAGTTGTAAGAGATTTGCTTGAACAAATTACAGGATGGGGTGAGGGGGGAGGGATTTGCAGTACCACTTAAAATACAATTGCAATAAATAATATTTGTGTGTGTGCCAGTGGGGGGGAGGAGGGGAGCTAAGCCCAAAACGACGCTGGAAATTGGGTTTATTTAAAAGTCTGGGTCACGTGTCGCCATTTCATGGTCTAAGTAGCTGCTTCTGGTCGAAGTACTGGGTGTTTCTGTTCCCTCCACGGGTCACGTGTCAGCAGCAGCAGCCGACGACGACGACGACGATTCCTTTATAAGTTGATTAGGACAAGGAGTCTTATCTTATTTTTTACTCCATGCAAAATGCTGACACGCGCCGGGGTTCTGTTTCTGCCAGAGTTGAGATAAGAGGAAAACGAGCGTTGAAACGTGTCACTCTGATGATTCTTTCTCTCTATATATATTCTCTATATAAAAAGTTTTTGGGTAAATCTCAACAAGAATTCTCTGGGGAACACCTGACAGTAGTCTTTACCCGGGGGACAGTTGCCAGAAATAAATTACACTTTATTATGCATAATCTAATCCGCGCCAGCAGCAGAGCAACCCTGAGATTCACAGTCTATCTCTCGGTCTCTCGGTCTCATCTGGCACCTGTCACATCGATTCTCCAGCTTAGCTCTGGGCTCTGGGCTTTGATGGAGCAACTGACTCTGGCTGACTGGCTTAGTGGTTATGCCGGGTGACGCAGATCTGGAATCTGGAATCTGGAATCTCTTCCAAAGCCCAAGGCCTAACCCTGGGGGGTATAGCTTAACCATTAGAAACTAAGCTCTAACCAGGAAGTTGCATATAAGATCCTATTGCTTTTTCTTTAATGCTCTAGGCTCCAAAGAGTACCTCTTTCACCTTTAAACCTTTCCCACCATCTGAGTTTTGCTTTGGACTTTACACAAAAGCAAGCTTTAGATCTCAATCGGTTTTGGGTTTGTTCGTCGAGTGTCGCAGGATGCCGTACAAGGTCCTTTAACAATTGACCCGCAGACAGAAGCAGCGTTACGGAAATTTCAAGTGTTTACCAGCAAACGCGCGGGAATTCCCCTTTTCCCTGGGACTAAAGTTTAAAGTACGAAGGGAAAAGCAGGAGCAGGCAACCCAACCAAACAGTTGGTCAAAGGACCGACCAAAGGCTCGAATCCATATGGGCGCTTTAAGTTGTTGTAAACACATGTTAATAAACACGCACCCACCGAGGGTGGGCTTGTCAGTACCAGCAACAGCAACAGCAACAGCAACAGCAGCAGCGGCAACAACTCGAGCATCACTCAAATTAACTTTGAAAACCATTCAGGAACACTTCATTTGATTGCCGCTGAAAACGTTTTTCCTCCCCCTAGAAAACCAGAATCTAGAATCCAGAATCGAGAGTCCCCCTGTTGCAATAGCAATTATACCATTGAGGCAAAGCCAACCCCCGAAAGAACGGCGGCCATAAAAGTTCAAACACACTCATTTCGCGCTTAGAAAAATATATATATATATTCGGACATATATATAGTAACCTTCTGGCCTCCGTTGAATGTTTTTCTTTGACAAACAGCCGCTTCTGCCGCATCCGTATCCGCAGGATGCCGAACAAGTGCAGGAGATCCTTGAGAGAGCTTGACTGTTGAGCAAACAACAAGGACAGGCAGGCAGGCAGGCAGGCAGGCAGGCAGGCACACATAAATAAACAACTGGCGCCTGGTGGAATGAATCCATCATTGTGCTGCCACCCACTCCAACCCCCCCTTGGATGACCCTCTCTGCCCAAGAGTTTTCCACGCTGTTTGCATAGTCAAGTGCAACAGTTTCCCTAGAAGGTTTTCCCTTTAAAAAAAAAAATGGAAGCTGCATTGTCACCTGTCTTGGAAGGGAAAGTAAAGAATAGATTTTTATTTTAAATTCAAATCATGTCCAAGCTGGAAAATTCTTGCATATCATGAACGGTTTCGTAACGAAAATTCCCCAGGGAAACTTTATGGGGCCCCAAAACGTAAATAGTTTTGTCAGGACAACGAATCTACCTGTCATTGCTTCCAAGGGAGAAGAAAATACACCCCAAAAAAGAAAAGGGGGAAATTGTGTGGGTGGCAAGGACATAAAACTGGGAGAGCTCAGAGGGGTGGAGGTGGAAAGCCACCACCAATCGACGTAGACAAAGCGCACACACATTAATTTCGAATTAGTTTTGCATCATGTGGTTCACGATGCAGAAAAATCGACTCACTGGAAAATAAGTGAGTAGGAAAACTCCCCCTTTTTTCAGCTGGTTTTTCTTCCTCATCGTCGTCTTGATTCTTAGTTCATTTCTCGTTCGTGTTTATGGGCAACTATTAAGTGCACAACGTTGTGCGGCATGAAAAATGCGGCATGGACGTGGAACAGATCGCTGGATTTTCTACATGAGCGCATTCTAAAAGTCGTTCGCCTCACCAACACCACAAACCCGAGATGTATATATATATATAGAGAGAGTTCTGGTTATTGGTATACTGGATTCTGGGGGGATTCTTGGAGATTCTGGTATTCCGGATTCTACCCATTCATCGGTTCAAGTCTCTCGGGTTTTGCGGCTGTAAAATTAGGTTAATTCCTGTCAGTGCGTTGCTGATTTGAATTGTCACACACAGGACAGCGGGATATATACAGATATATGTATATATGTTATGTGCACTGTAAGATTAACTACACCTGCAGATATTAAAAGTTATGGGTTTGGGAAAGGGAAAGCTAAGGTTTAAATTATAGAAATTAAAGATTAAGAGACTCAGAAACTGGTTTAAAATCAAGTAATATGTCTTATTGATTTTAGAAATAAATATTTACTAAATTTCTTAGTTATTTTTTATTTAGTTCTTTTTTATATTCATTTTGTATTAATTTCTTATTTATTTCTAATTTATTTCTTATTTAATTTTATTTGTTTCTTATTTTTTTAATATTTATTTTTCTTAAAAATTTTTTTTTTTTATTTATTTCCTATTGATTTCTTGTTTATTTCTCAATTATTTCTTATTTATTTTTGATAAATTTCTTATTTATTTCTTATTAATTTCTTATTAAATTCTTAATAATTTCTTATTTATTTCTTATTTATTTCTTATTTTTTTCTTATTTATTTCCTATTTATTTCTTATTTAATCACACCACTTTTTCTCTCAGTGCCTTGCACTTGGCACCTGGTTCTCGGTTTCGTAGTCTTTGGCATGGGATTTACTCGCATTGACGTTCGCTGACGTCTCTCCTGGAGACACAGAGCAAAGGCCCCTCTTGAAACCCCCTTAAAACCCCCTGGAAACCTACTTCAAACCCCGCCAGAGCCCCTCCTGAGACCCCTCCTGAAACCCCTCCTGAAACCCCTCCTGAAACCCCTCCTGAAACCCCCCTGCAAACCCCTCTCCTGCCCCTCTGTCCGATCGCGGCTTAGTGACGACGACGACTCTAATCCCCTGACTGCCTGTCTCTCATCCTCATCCTACATGCTCGCATATATATTTCTGCTCTTTCGCTTTTTTTTCTCGGGGTTTATCTTTTCTTTTATTTTTTTCTTTTATTTTTCCTTTACTGCATGTTTTCTCATATATATTTTTTTCTTTTGGTTTTTGCACATGACAGTTACGCAAGAAAAATGTCAAATCGAGTGAGTTGGCAGTTGGGGCGAAAAATGTTATGCAATTCCAGCTGGGAACCGATAGCCGATGGTCGATAAAAGATGCCAGTAGGAATTTTTACTTAAAGTTGAGAGAATTTTCTATATTTAAAAGAGTTTTTTTAGGCTTTTAAATGATTTTTGTGATATTTAAAAATAAAATCAAAGAGTTTTCTATATATTTAGTTGGGTTTTCTTGTTCTTTTAAAAACTAATAATAAATTTAAGCCAAGCCAAGCCCTGTCTGGGGCTGTCTTCAATTTTTTAGGCTTAAATTTAGGCCACAAATCGGAGGTATAATAAAACAGGACTAATAGTTCTGCTCCCCTTGTGATTTCGTGTGTCATTGACAGGACTAATTTGGTATTTTCTTGTCCTTCTTTTTTTGTGTTGTATATATTTTTCCAGGAAAACCTTTAGCTTTCTTTTCAGAAGTCATCTGCTGGCATTTAGTGCCAGTCCAGCGACGTCATGTCAAGGTCACACACAGACAGGAAACGGAAGGAGAACACAAGCTTCAACAAACGGAAGGAAGCCTTGGGTCATTGGTAATGAGTGTCCATAGTTGTCCAAGTTGTTCAAGTTGCTGCCCGGGCAGTTTGCACTTAATTTCTGTTTGTGTGTTGCGTGCACAAACATTTAAAATTTATAGACAAACACACACGCACACACACACTGCACATTGCACTGGTGAAACCCCTCCTTCTCTCCCCCCTATCACCACCCACACACATTTTCCGATTTAGCCACTTGGCATGCTCAGTCAAGTGGAAAGTGTATGAACACCCTTCGTTGCCCCCCCCGTCCAGTGCCGCCACCCCTCGCTTTTCGGGTAAATGAAGTTGCTGCCCATCCCCAACCCCCACCCACATTCACAGCCCAACTCCCACCTCCCCCACTACCAAGTTTGGTGGAAATTGCTCCTTCTGTTGACTGGTTTCACGTTCTTCACGCTTTGATGCGGCATCACAAATTGTTGTGGTATTTGTTGTTGCCATTGCACCCTCGCAAATAGTTGCATACACACACTAACACACACACACATAGGGCCAGACAGGAACCAACTTACACACACACAAGAGCTTATACACCAAGAGAAAGTGGGTTTATCAAGAAGTAAAAGCTAAGAAATTGAATTTTTAACCATAATAAATTCAAAATTCACTTTAAAAACCTTTTAAAAATTCTCTAAATTTCGAAATTCACCTTAAATTCACCTTAAATTTCACTGAAAATTCCCCTTAAATTTCACTGAAAATTCCACTTAAAATTTAACTTTAAATTTCACTTCAAATTGCCCTTA